TGATATCTCTGGAAAAAAGATTGCACGCACTGTGAAGACTTCCGAGATAGATACTCTCTTGAGAGCGGTAGTAAGGGCCCAGGCATTGTATGGAGGAGGTCAGATTCATCGTGCTAACATAGCTGTCGCTTGTTAGGCTGAGGATCCCGATGCTTGGCGCACCATCACTGATATCAAGAACGATAGAGAGATCAAGCTTAGTGACACCGACCTCAGGATCATACAGTGAGATCAGCCGTAGTCAACTGGCCGCCTGCCATTCAATGCCGACCTCAGGCGTATCCGGAAGGGCTTTTTCCCTACTGGTCGTGGTGATGGCGATGAGGATGAGGAATTCCAGGTAGGGTGGTGAGGTGTCTAGGAGTAGTAACCAAGGCTAATCATGGTAGGTTGAGTATGAAGACCGTATAGAAGACAAAATTCATCCAATGAGGACTCGATACCCCTCGAAGAAGTCGTTCATGCCGGACCAAGACGAGGCCCGTAAGGTCAAGAGATTGATCAAGCTCATAAGGGCGGGAATTATCAAGCCTAAGGAGGAGAAGCCTGCGAAGGAGGATGTATTTCATACCGCTCCTCGACGAAATCACTACTTAATAAAAAGGCTGTGTATTAGCATAACCATCTCCAGAGTAACCGCCAGTGATGAAAATACCAAGGACTGCGATAAAGGATGATGCGATCATTATAATAAAGCCAACTACCTGAAAGTAAAAGTCGACTGGATGCTGGTAATAACTCTACCAGCCATGATCGGGCACATATGTCTACTACACCATATGGCACCGGAAGCCATGGAAAAGCCACTGTTGGTATATATGTTCGCTCTCCTCAGCTGAGCTCAAGAGTTTCCTCGCTTATTACACAAGCATATATCGTATCCAACTGCGTATATAAACTGTATACTAATTCAGATAGAAGTTTTCAGAATCCGACAAGAAATTTCCAAAACATCCTCAAACCCTTCATGTTGTGACTGACACATGTAGTTGACCATGTGCATAATTTTCCATCCTAGTTAGAAGTTGTCCCTTACCAAACACAACATGGTGAAATCATTGAGTTATAGGGTCTCGAACGTTTGTCAAAA